GCAAAGCGGAAGCATTAGCATTAGCATTAGGTTAGGTTAGGTACACTTTATTGTCCCTGAGGGAAATTTGTCTTAGGCTCAGAAATACAACCACCACATCACATACAACACATAGTAGTAAAGAAAAAAAAAAAATAAGATAATTAATTATTGTATGTATATATATACATACACACACACATATATATATATACGAGTAGTCTACCTCTAATCTATTGCCCATATCATATATCAAAGAACCTAAAACAGATTCACATTTGTCAGAGAAATCATGAGTTTGGAACCGGAAATAGAAGTCGTTCAGTTCATTAGCTTTCTGTAGATCATCAATTGTATCTATCTGTGATTTCCTTGAATCCATATTAGTAACAGGCTTCATTGCACTCCATATTTTTTTGGAATTTGAAGTTAAAAACTGGTGCTACACCATCAAACTTGAAGTGCGGTACTCAAAACATGCTTTGGAGATCGCACGAAGTTCTCCCATCTTTCCATGCAGAGATCTAGCATTACACAGAATCATCGACGGTAAGGGTGGTCTACTCCCTCGTCGTCGAAGGCGCTGCCGTATTCCGCCCCTCCGGCCTCTTTTCCTTTGCCTTCTATTTCGCTCAGGTTACACCCTCACGCAGGCAGGTAGGTTCGGTGGAGATAGTCCCATATGGCGAAGCGTGAGCAAAGTATCTCGGGTATAGCTAATAGGCGTCCATGTTTCCACACCTGCATATACCGTGCACTGCGCCAAGTATCCCCATATGACTGTTACTAGACAGGCAAGTTGGACGATCTTCGCCATATGAGCGTCGGATTCGTCACAATAAGATAAAATAACAATAAAATAAATAAAAACGGAACAAGTACGAACAGACTGATGTAGTGGAGCACGAGCCCGGGTCGCAAGCAGAGCAGCAGAGTTAGCCGTTACACTTGTTTGGCTAAAGGTTGCATATGTTATTTTAATGACAAATGTTGAGAGCGCATTATTGTAGCGCGAAAGCACATTAATATAATGCGCGAGCGCGAATCT